CACACACACACACACACATATACACACACTATTTAACTGGTTTAAATTTCCAGTATATGGGCAATATAAATATATTTTCAGAAAAAAGGCTGCAGCTACCCATTTCTAGCACCATAAAAGCTAATGAGTGATACCTGGTAGAGAACTGATAATATGGGTTCCTGCGAGGCCAAGTAGTAATAAGCAATCCCATTCCTGCAAAGTCTGATCAGTATCCTCTGCCTCCTTCTTGGATTTATCACATACTCTTATCATTTCTCTATTTACTCTCTGTGCCTAGAATAAATCTTAACACGTGTTGTCCTACTGAAGAGGATGTACTCAATTCTGTGATCTCAAAGGCTGTCCTGGAGTAAAGCTGGAGTGGACTACATTGACCTGCCCTTCTCCCAAGCCTATATATGAGAGCTGTAACACTCCCACCTCCTTTTCCCCGGCCATATGGGGGCACCAGGCAAGGTGTTTTGAGTATGGTACCAAAGGCTGTAATTTTTATCAACTTAAGAAAGAGAAAAGGGGTATCTAGCCAGCAAATAATTATTTTATAGGAGATGAGAGGATGGACAGAAAACTGAAGTGGAAAAGAAACAGATGGATGTTTTCTCTTTCTACTATAAACCCAGTGGGGAATCTTCCTAAGACCAAAAACATACGACAACTACAATGACTCAGCACTCAACTGTAGTATATGCCACTTACTTTAAGATCTATTCTTAAAAAACTAGAGTGGTCAATAAATAAAATTAGGCAATACAATATTCAGTACTCAAATGTAAAAACTATCTAGATATTAAGTTTTTAAGGAAATTCAATAGTGGTATGTAAAATGTATAAAATGCAGGATATATTCTGATTATTTTTTATTTTAGAAAAATAAAAAGAGAAAGGAGGAGGAAGAGGAAGAGAAAGAAAGGAAATGAGGGAGGAAAGGAATGCTGTCTCTTGTAATAGAAGGCTACTTAAAACTGTATTGAAGATTACCAACATTAGAAGTCCTACCATAATCTGGACAATAAAAAGCACGTATTTGCTCATCTTGCCAAAATAAAAATAAAAATTGGTTGTTAATACATATTATCTAATATTAAATCTATCACATGCTTGTAACTTTTTTCACTCAAGAAATGTAAGAATCACATTTAAAATAATAGATTATCTAGGAAAAAAAATCAGACAAATACTTTGAATGTAGCCAAGAATCATATAAGTGGTCAAGTATATTTTACCACTGAATCTACAAAGTCCACTGTGATAAAATATGGACTCAAGAAACGCTCTACGGTAAGAAAATAATAATGATCATAAAGTTAAATTTCTCACTTAAGTATTTCTCTCAAGAAAAATAATAAACATGATAAATGATTTTCTAGTTAACTAAGTCCTGACAATTTGAAATGAAATAATTTTAACGGGTAAGTGATATTTTTAAAAGCTAAAAATTAAGACACATTTTATTATTTCTATTCTAAATTTTCATCTTCTCACCCTTGACTTAATTCTAGTTATCTCAGGAGTGGATGAATATAGCTCACAAAAGGCAACATTTTAAAAATCAAAACACTGTAATGACCACTCATAATTCTCACTAAAAGCTCTGTATGTTGATTCTGTGTTTTCCATATGATTAACAGTTTAACTTCATCTGAAACTTAAGAACTAGTTTAAGTCCAGAAAATCATACTTTCCATATATGATACATAGTATTCAATAGTTAAAGCCAAGTATTACAATATCCCAAACCACTCATCTATAAAAAAAAAACTTCCCATAGATTAAAGGTCTGAAGTCAAAAGTGCAGGAAAATAATCAATTCAACTAACAAGCACAGTTCTGCAAGAAAGCCAGACTAAGAATCTGAGGAATAGCTAGAAATCTTATTCCCTTTCACCTGTACAGAGGAGGTATATGGTTAGTGAAGAGTGCAGACTCTCAAGCCAGACAGGCAGCATTTCAATCCTACCTGTGCCTCTTAATTGCTGTGTGATTTTGGGAAAATTAATCTCTGATCTCTGTGTGCTTCAATTTCTTCATCTGTAAACAGGGTGTGAAGGTTACATTAATTCAGGTTAAACTCTAAGAAATGTAACTAGCACATAGTAAGTCCTCTTTACAAGTGCATGACCAAATAATAATAAATACTCCAGAGAAAAAAAGTAATTCTATGTAAACAGTAAAGAAAGAATGATAACTATAATCAGAAAATTAGCAGCTAATATTTATTTGAACTCCTACTGTGTGCCAACTATGCAAGGTGGTTATCTTTGATTCCATTTTACCAATGAGGAAACCAGGCCTCAGAGCTCAATTTATCTAAGGACACAGACCTGTCTAAAAAGCAACAAAGCCTGGTGCCTAACTTCAAGGCATGATCTTTCCATTTATTCTATCATCAAGTAAAAGAGGAAAAGGGCAAAAGTGCAAACACTGACTATGTGTGCACTGGGGGGAGGAGGTGAATTGTGAGCAATATTTCTTCACATCGTTTTATAGAAAAGTTCAATAATCAATTGACCTTTCCAATTTCAAAGGTAAACAATCTGCATTCTGACTAAAATTAAGCTTATAACCTAACTAAAAAGGCTAATTTAGGGATGGAACTTCCCTTTTAGAGTTTCCTGGGAGGGAAAGGGTGGGAAAAGAGAGGGATAGGTTATTTTAAGATAAGTAATTCAACAGGAAGAAAAATGTGTTTGTAGTCCGGTCAGTCTGCATTTTAAAAGATGACCATACTCTATAGCTTTAAATGTGCAGAGGAGGCAATAAGAGTCAGGGTTTCCTTTTCCAATGAGAAGACTTGAAACCCAGAAGAAAATACAAATACATGTACAGGCTATGGCCAGAAAATATAAGCAAATGTGTACAATTTCAAATATTAAGAAAAACAAAACCCCTCAATATTCTTTTAAATGATAATCTGCAGTTTAGAAACATTACTTATGGTTTGGCCTGTGACTTATCATTCATCTGTAAACTTCCTGCACTCTGAATGACAAAATGAACTCTTCTTTAAGAGGTGCTATACTACTATTACACCAAGTCAAATATGGAATAATGTATAATTATTATATACTATACAATTAGTATACCCAATGATGTTTTGTATTATGGCAATTCACCTGGGGAAAAGTTCAGAAAGTATACTTGTAAGATCCAAACTTACAATCTGTATTTTTTTTAAAGAACTTTTCTCACAGGCTTAAAAAAATTATTCTGTTAATGGAAATTTAAAGGATTTTCTCTTCCCCATTCACAGAATTATTAGATTATTATTCAAAAGATGACTACCAGGTAAATAGAATGTTTTGATTCTGGTTCAGAGAAAACTGTTTTGACTATTAAAAAGTTATTTTGCTAATTCCAGATTATCTACAATAATAGGATAGAAATTACCTCCTTAAAATACTTGTGTTAGTTATCACATTTCAATTGATTCTTCCAAACTTACTGCTTCAACTTCTAACAAGCAATCAAGGTAGCTAATTTAAATTTGCTTCTCCTCTCCATACACATCCTTTCTTTTAAAAAAAAAAATATATTTTTATTGATTTCAGAGAGAAGGGAGAGGGAGAGAGAGAGAAACATCAATGAGGAGAATCACTGATCGTCTGCCTCCTGACACCCCACACCTGGGATCCAGCCCCTAATCCAGGCATGTGCCCCTGACCAAAATCGAACCCAGGACCCTTCAGTCCGCAGGCTGATGCTCCATCTACTGAGCCAAACCAGCCAGGGCAGACATCTTTTCTTAAAAAAAAAAAAAAAAAATCAGTCCTAGCCTGTTTGGCTCAGTGGATAGAGCGTCGGCCTGCAGACCAAAGGGTCCCAGGTTCGATTCCAGTCAAGGGCACGTACTTCGGTTGCAGGCTCCTCTCTGGCCTAGGCCCTGGCTGAGGCGTGCAGGAGGCAACCAATCAATGCGTTTCTCTCACAGTGATGTTTCTCTCTTTCTCTCTCTCTCTCTCTCTCTTTCTCTCTCTCTCTCTCTCTCTCTCTCTCTCTCTCTCTAAGAAATCAATAGAAAAATATCCTCGGGTGAGGATTTAAAAAAAAATCAAACTACAATAATGTTACTAACAAGAATTAAATGAGAGTTTTAAGTTCCATAGTTAAAGAACTTATGATGACTAACACTCAACAGTCATGCAATATGTTTCATAAGAGAATAAATGATCCCTGAAAAAATGAAATCTCCTAATTCTAATATTTAGTAAATCCAGAAATATAAGAATCCTATGAATAAATAAGTCTCTAAATGTTTATTGAAATGAAAACTATAACAAAGGAATGGGCCATGTCAACTTATCTCTGTTGCTGAACACTATGTTCAGTGTTGAGGGTTGAAAAGTGTATTACAAGAGTGCTTATCTAAAGTTAAGTTCTTTTTAAAAAAATATATTTTACTGATTTTTTTTACAGAGAGGAAGGAAGAGGGATAGAGAGAAATATCGATGAGAGCGAAACATCAATCAGCTGCCTCCTGCACACTCCCTATTGGGGATGTGCCTGCAACCCAGGTACATGCCCTTGACCGGAATCGAACCCGGGACCCTTCAGTCCGCAGGCCGACGCTGAGCCAAACCGGTTACGGCTAAAGTTAAGTTCTTTAGAAAAAACTCTTTAAAAGTAAATCTCTTCCATTTTTACAATGAAAACAAGCAGCCTAATCACTGATTAGGCACTAATTATATAAATGGGTTCCACATAGTGATAAAAGATGATTTAGGGACATTTTTTCCCTTCTGTTTTTGCTTTTTCTTAGGTGGGGGGTATACACCTAAAGTGACTAGGCAGACTAGATAGTCAGCAGGTTATTCAAGAGCTTGTTTGTGTCCACAAAGCAACTGAATCCTATTTGGAACTATTTCTCTTCTTCAAATGTCATGGCTAACACTATCACAGGGTGAACAATACATACTGAAACTTAAAAGGGGGATTTCTCACAGATTTTTACTATGCTGGACCTAATCTCTGAGGCCACTTGACTCAAATGAGCTCAGCTGTTTTAAAACTTAAAAAGAAGACCACTACTGCAATGAGTTTATTTTACATTCAACTTTTTTACTGTATGTACCAAAAGAGTTTTAATTTTTCAATTACTTAAATGTTTTAATGAGATAACTTGATTATGTATGGAAACAACTATTCAGTATAAGGAAGAAACCAGAGTGAAACTAATAAAAAAATTCCACACCTATACAAAAAGGGTGCTTGCTGAGTTTTTGTTGTTTTTTTTAGGAGGAGGGGGTAAAGTGTATAATGAGAGACCAAGCTTCTCATCCCTGCTCTGCCACATACTGGCTCTTTACCCTGGTCATAGCACTTAGAACTGATAAATATTCATTTCTATGTATGTTAAGAGGAAGTAACAGTAACTACCTCACAAATTGGAGTGGAGATTAAATAAAATAATGGTGGTAAATTAACCAGCAAACAGTATGTTCTCAATAAATGTTAATATCCTCCTTTCTCCCCAATGGCCCAGTTTTCAGCATGTAGCCATTAAACTATACACAAGCTACTATAACATATTCAAAAGCAATCTATGAAAGATATTTCTGTGCTGTTTTAACTAGGTAAACTCAACAGTCCACTAGTTTTTATTAAATATTGGACAGTCATTTTAAAGAGAACTCAAAACTCACAGAAGCTTCATGGTAAAGAAAACTATAACATGGGTTCTGTCTTCAAAAACTGCTTTACAAATAATGATTATAATACTGCAGTAGCACACTATGGGACAGCAGAAACAAGGTCCACCATACCACTCAGGATCCTTCAGTGGGCTCCCAATTCTCTTGGAATAAAGACCCAATATCCTTTCAATGCCCACCCATGCCCATCTCCACTCCTCACTCAGACCTCATCTGCTCCAATGCCAACATGACACTGTATGGGGGAGAGGGAGCCCCATACAAACTGCTCCAGCAACACGATCTCAACGTTCCTCAAATCTCTCTCCACCGTGTTTCTGTGGGACTTGCTCCTTCATCTCCTAGTCTGCTCAAAATTCACCTCACCAGTAGTGAAGACACCATTTTGCAACCCCACTTCCACTGCCCCCCCTCCACTCTCAATTTCCCTCCCTAAAGGGGCTTTTCTCCCATAGCACTTAACACCTTCTAACATAGTAAGGAAGAAAAAGATATACGATGTTTATTATCTGTCTCTGCTGACTAAAATGTAGCTCTCACCCGAGCAGGGATTTTCATCTTTCAGTGAAACAAACTATACATATACATATACATATACATATACATATACATATACATATACATATATATATCCCCAGTGCCTGGAACAGTGCCTGGCACATAATAGGTATTTAATAAGTAATCATCAAAATTAAGGCCCTTCTTTAATTTGTTTTTATATATATAGTCAAACAAATGTAAAACAAGTTCTTAAAGAGACAATCTTGAACAGGCCTATAGTCATTTGGACGTATAAACACTGGTATTTGTTCAAAATACAATCTTAAATTTCAAAGTCCACACATTTAAAAAAATTAAAAAACAGTAATTAACATCATTAATTATTCATTTAAATTTTGTTATTTAAAATATTCATTAATAATACTTGGGTTTTCATGTTTGAGTAATATATTATACTTTCAAATCCAATTTTCAACCATTTCTAGCGATTTCATGTGAGTCAGAAGACTGTATCACAAATATTGGGGGAAATAGTAAGCAAGGAGAAAATAGTTTCAATTCTACAACAAACAGTTTTGCAACCTTGAACCTCAAAACCTCCTTGATTCTCAATTTCTTCATTTGTGAAGGGGAAGTAAATAGATGATCTCTGAAGTCATTTCAGGTCTAAATATTCTATGATACTGTGAATCAAAAATCTAGTAGGTTACACAGTCTACACACTTCTCACACCTCTAATAAAAATCATGAGGGTGGCTTAGTGATTGAGCTTCGACCTATGAACCAGGAGGTCACAGTGTGATTCCTAGTCAGGGCACATACCCAGATCATGGGCTGGACTGCAGGCCGATCCCCAGTGTGGGGTATGCAAGAGGCAGC